CACATGCTTACCTTCACATGTAGAAGCATCCTGAGCTCTTACATCTGCTGGCCTCCTCACAATGCAAAGTCTGAAAGCAGTAGACTATCTGAGGGAGGTGTTTCTTTTGGAGTTTGGCTGAAACTTCCAGGCCTAAACCTTTCCTCCTCGTGCTCAGCGTTACTCTGGTGAATAGAAGGAAGCTGGCCAGCTTCCCTGTCTCTGTGCCTGTATGTGCTTCCAGCCTTCCTTGTTTTAAATGTATAGAAATTACTTCTTGAGGCATTTTTGTGCCTGTCCCTTTCATGTGTCATCCTTGGGCTAGCTTCCCCTGCATTCTTGGTGTTCTTTCCAGCTACCGAGAGGCATGCTTCTCTGGACCACCCTAGCAGCCTTCAGCTGTGGGTGTCCTTTCCCTTTGGTTTGGCGGCTTCTTTCTCCATTTGCTGCCAAGTACCCCTCCAGCAGCCAAGGCAGCCCCTGTTCCTGCGTGTGTTTATTACATAGGGCAACACCGAGGAATAAGTATGATCCTTTCCACTGCTCTGGACCCTGTGAAGGCTCTGAGAATGGAGCTCTGGAAAGAGTCTCCAGGGTAGACCAACCTGCAGAATACCTGTTGTAAAGGTAGCAGACTTCTTAATTTCACATCTTCCTAACAGATACTTATCCCTAGGTTTTTGGAAACTTGTCAGTGACATCACATATTTACAGCTCAACAGTTTTTCCTAAATATTGTCCATGTAAAAACTCCTCTGAGTTTTGTGTGAAATTGTTTAGACAGAAAGCTATTAAATGAATGTGTGTGGTTTTTTCCCCTGCCTCACTAAAGGAAGAGAGACACAGTTCTCCCCATTGTTATGTAACCAAAGTATAGCTGCCTCCCACCTGGATGGAAGTAGCTCTGCTGGACTGAGACCCACACTTGTGGTTCCCCTGGAAGGTGGGAAGGTAGGATGGGGAGATGCTGAGCTGTCAGAGCTTGAGGCTTTCTGGACTCTTAACTTCTCAACATTTAGAAAAAAATTGATCCTCCAAAGTAGAATTTGGTTGTGTTAGAGACAGAGAAAAGCCTGAATGTTTCTTTCTTCTGAAGTTGCTGTACTTGTTGGAATGGTTTTGTTGTTTTCTTTAGACGACTGATTATCAGGGCTGTGTGCAACTCATGCTTAAGAGTGAAGAGACCAAGAGAGTCTTAAAACCTTAAAATCAACTGTTTTTTGAACATATTTTACATTCAGAGGACATGACAAAGTAGACATAGGCTGACATTGGGAGGATTTCAGTTCCAGGCCAGCCTGGGTAAAAAAAAAAAAACTTAGCGAGACCCCATCTCAACAAATAAAATTGGGTGTGGTGCACTTCTGTAATCCCAGCTCTGTGGGAAGCATACATGGGAGGATCACAGTCCACTGTACCAAGCAAAAAATGTGAGATCCTATCTGAAAAGTAACCTAAAGGAGAAAAGGGCTGGAGGTGTGGTATAAGGTGTGTGGCCTGCAAGGGCAAGTCCTGGGTTCAAACCCCAGGACTACCAAAAGGGAAAAGGAAAAAACAAAAAGAAACATTTTGCAAGGTTGTTGTGCCTAGGGAAGGTACCTCAGTATTTCTTGGCAAGGCAGTGACCAAGTTTTCCTTGCTGTGGGCTAGCTCATTTTCTAGCATCCCCCCCACACACTGGGGTTTAAACTTAAGGCCTTATACTTGCTAGGCAGGTACTGTGCCATTTGAGCCATGTACCCAACCCAAAGATGCTCTCCGCCCCACCCACCACCCACCTCCTCAGTGCTGGAGACCAAACATAGGGTCTTGTGCATCTAAGCTACACCCCCCCACCCCATTTTCATTCAATATATCATCTTTTTGTGTATGTGCTGGTGGGAGGGAGAAGCAGGTGCCCCTTAATTTTGATAATCACAACAAACCTTCTTGAGTTCTTGCTGCCTCTTGTGTGGAAGGGTTCACTTGTAGCTGGTGTCTTTTCTCCTTATAGACCCTGTGGGTGGTAAATATCTCAGGGACTAAAGCATTAAAAATGAATGAGGAGGAGGAGAGCAGTTTGTCTAAGGTGGAGTGGACAAGGACTGGATGGGGGAGGTTTAACAAAAGACATTGATGTTTTAAATGCACAGAAATGCCATCCATCAATAATAGATGGTGTGGCATACAACAGATGTGCCAAATTGAATTATTACAGCATATGGAGTTCATGGGGGAAGGGGTAAGCAGCATTGCTGACATCTTTACATTTTTAAATGCTGTGTGAAAGCTTTAGGACACAATTTTAAATAGTTTTTATTGCTCTGATGGCTGCTATTTGGAAATACAAAGAGTATGGAATTTCTAAAAATGCCAATTAACATTTTGAATGTTTTTGAAGTAAGAATTAGTAAGAATAAATTAATCTTGCTTTCCTGAAGAGGAAGATAATCTAAAAGTGAATTTCTTGCCCTTCGTGGCTGAGTGCTTGCTCTTTAAGAGCTTATGTTGTAATAGTTGTGAGGAATGAAATTGCTTTACAAAACTCAATTCACATGAAACTACTATGCAAAGATTTCTACTTTTACATTGATTATATATCTAGATACATGTTCAGTACATGCTTGAGCTACAGAGGACCTTGCAGGAAACCTCACTCATGCTTTGGGATCAATTCATCACCTCAACTTGTTGACTCAACAGATAATTCTATACAGGTGCTCCATGTGAGAATTACCTCACACACATGACAAATACCACCATAATGTTCATAGAGAAAATCACTCCTAGTAAATGGGAAGGACACAAAACTCTGTGAGGAAGACTAGGATATTTTTAAAGTATAGAGTCTAGCGAAGCAATCATGCTTTTGTGTGATCTAGATACGTGGAATTCTTGTTAGCCTCACAGGCATAGCGGAGGATGAAAATGTTAGAGGTGTTTGAAATGACTCCTGCGTTCCTGACCTGGAATTGATGTGCTTAATGAAAAAAACAGGTTTGGTTAGACATATGGAACTATTCCATTTATCTTAATATTGACCCTTGCTTGCCTTTTCAGAAATTTGTTTCCAATTGGATATCTCTGCTTTGTTGTCCCAACAGAAGCAATTGCTCTTTACTTTTCCAAACAAGAACAACAAGTACTAGTTCTTACAACTAATGCCAAGGTGGTTTAAACTTGAGGTTTGTAAGGCTAGAAAGACAAACTACTTTCTTATAGAAGAGTTTGTTCGGCCTTTGAGTGTGTTATAGTTGCAAATGGGGAAAGTCTATTACTAATTCTTATTTTAGCCATCTATATTGTTAACTTTCAACATATTCAGATGCAGCATTTACTTGATTTAATCTTTTCACATCCAGTGGATCCCAGAGTGCCTTAAAAAAAAAGAAAGAAAAGCACTTGTCCAACTGACTTTAGAGCCACTAAATCTATTTTATAGTCCCATTAGATATCTAGCTCAAAGCCCCCATTCACTGTGGAAGGTCCTATGGTTGAATGCACAGCAAGTTTCCTGAAATGATCTCTGATACACCTCCTTTGAGTTAAGAGGGTGTTGAAATGTGAGAAGGATGGTAGTGAAATCAGATTGTGGCTCAGGGTAATTAGGAGGGAAAACCCAGCGTTTTCATAGCACATTGTCTGGGTTTTAGTTGCAGCTGCAAACTGCAGATATGGATTTAACCACTGTAGTGCAGCTGGTTCAGATCTGGCTTTATAACTGGCTGAAGTAAAATGAAGTGGCTGGAAAATTCCAGTCAAGTAACACCACTGGGATTAAATAGTGTGAGCAAATGCTGGCTGAATTGGGGAAAACTTCAGACATAAACTTGAGGATGGTGGAGAGGACTTGGGGGGCATTTTCTGGCCTTTTAAACAAGGGTCTATTGTTCTGATTAGTTCTTAGCAGGAGCTGAAAGTTCCCTCCATCTAGATCAACACACAGAGTGTTTTGCTTGTCTGTCTTCCTTCTTGATGGAGGTTACCTGATTTTTTTAAGAAGGAAGAAGGAAATAAGCTGTTGCCTCAGTTACTAACAACACACATCTCAAAAATGTAGTCCCTTTGTCTTTGGAACAGTTTTCCCATCTTGTGTGACACAGAGCCTATCTCTTCCTTGTTACCTTCCTTCTAGCACCAACTGTATGTTGGTAGGCAAAGGTATGTAAAGGTACAGTTGTTTTTTTTATTTTTTAAATGATTGTTCTAGTTAAAGGATTCCTTAGGGAGACTTTTATATTATCCATAGGTTTTTTTTTCCCCCCTCTCCCTGAATTCTGCACTTCATTTGGAAAATTGAGAAAAAAACCCAAGGAGTTGAAGGACCCTAATGTTGTTTGAGAAGAACATTTGCTATAACTAGGTTTGGAATATTTGGTCTCTGCCAGTGCTTAGGGACTGTATTTGCCAAATTGTTTCCCGGTCACAGGAATTAGTCAGTGATGTGAAACATTTGTTTAAGGGACTTACAGAAATCTTTCCTGAGGCACATGATTGGTAGCTGTTGCTGGCTGCCCCCACCCCCACCTCTGATTCTGTTGGTATTTATACTAAGTTTGTAGAATGAGTCATAGGACATGGTGATAGTCCAATGAAGAATCTTTATAGAAAGCAATGTTTTGGCAGATATATTGTTAATTAAGCCCCTTCAAGTTCTGTATAACTTATAAAGGAACCTTTTTTTCCCATTCACAGCTAGGCCACTCCTCATCCATTCTGGGAAGAAGACAAATAGAAATTGTCAAAAATTGCCTGTTTCCCAATAGCAATACTGTCCTCTTATCTTAGGAAAGTAAACAGGGCTTTTGTTTTGTTTTGTTTTTTGATTGATACTCATTCCCTGGATATATGTTATATTTTAATTCTAAATACATGGGACAGTTTAATTTTTACCATTCATTCATGAGGCAAGAGTTTTTGAGTTGAATTTGGAGAATGTCTGCAGTTATTCCACTCCAAGTTGGAAGAGCACTCTTGTAGTGGAGGGGAGGTCTGTTCTTCCTTCCCATCCTGTTAAACTCTGTGCGTGTTCTTTTCCTCAGATCACAATCATCTTCAAAGCTCACCATGAGTGTACAGATCAGAAAGTATACCAAGCTGTGACAGATGACCTGCCAGCTGCCTTTGTGGATGGCACCACCAGTGGTGGGGACGGTGATGCCAAGAGCTTACATATCGTGGAGAGGGAAAGTGGCCGCTATGTGGAGATGCATGCCCGTTACTTAGGCACCACCGTGTTTGTGCGACAGCTGGGTCGCTACCTCACCCTCGCCATTCGAATGCCTGAAGACTTGGCTATGTCCTACGAGGAAAGCCAGGACCTGCAGTTGTGTGTGAATGGCTGCCCCCTGAGTGAACGCATTGATGATGGGCAGGGCCAGGTGTCTGCCATCCTGGGGCACAGCCTGCCTCACACCTCCTTGGCACAGGCCTGGTCTGGTTACACACTGGAGACAGCCAACACTCAATGCCATGAGAAGATGCCAGTGAAGGACATCTATTTCCAGTCCTGTGTCTTTGACTTGCTCACCACTGGTGATGCCAACTTTACCACCGCAGCCCACAGTGCCTTGGAGGACGTAGAGGCGCTGCACCCAAGGAAGGAACGCTGGCACATCTTTCCCAGCAGCAGCAATGGGACTCCCCATGGAGGCAGCCATTTGCCTGTCATTCTAGGACTCACATGCTTGATCCTTACTGTGTTTTTGTAGGGGTTGTCCTTTTTGTTTTGTTTTGTTTTGTTTTGTCTATAACAAAATTTTAAAATATATATTGTCATAATATATTGAGTGAAAGAGTATATATGTATATACCATGTATATGACAGGATGTTTGTCCTGGGACACTACCAGATTGTACATACTGTGTTTGGCTGTTTTCACATATGTTGGATGTAGTGTTCTTTGATTGTATCAATTTTGTTTTGCAGTTTTGTGAAATGTTTTATAATGTCCCTGCCCAGGGACCTGTTAGAAAGCACTTTATTTTTTATATATTAAATATTTATGTGTGTACCTGGTTAGTATGCATAGTACATATACACAGATACCATACGCAGCGTTCCCTTTGAAGGTGACCAGTTGTTTGTAGCTATTCTAGCTATTCCCTTCTGCCCTTCCCATTTCTACTGATTTTACCACAGTGTGCAGTTGTCAATGGCCACTGCCACTTTCCTCTGAAGTATGTCCTTACCCCTGGTGCCCTCACTCGATTAGAGAGGACAGTTAATTCCTTCCTTACAAGTGCTTTTGACTCTCTTAAACATTGATCTTAATATAAGCTGTCTTTCTAACAGCTGTCACTTTTTTGGAATGTGGGGAGAGTACTACTACAATTCTTACTACTCTTGATTATATCTTTGTTTTCTTTGAACCCATGCAGTATATCCTGTTGACCCATCTGAAACTAATGTTTTTGTAGGGTCTAGTGATGGCAGTTTCATGGATAAATACCAGGCTTCTTGCTAGACCTCAGTAGCTCTCAGACTTTTGCCTGTCCTGTGTCCCTGTTTAACTAGTTTTTCTCTTTTAATCTATTCTTCATTAAATCATGAAATCATGAATTTAGAAATAATCATGCCTGCTCTTTTACTCTATAATGTGTGAAGGCCCATCTTCTTAGCTTTCTCTTCTTTGGCTATTTGAGCCCCAAACGCCATTCTCTGCCCACCCCTGTAAGACCTCCTCATCTTCACCTTATGACTCCACAGACTAGGCTGTGTTAGTGTTTCTCTGATATGGAAGCCCGGATCCCATTACAAAGTCTTCTATTCTTCCTTGATCTTCATCACAGTCCTTAGCTTGTCTATATGCATATGACATGGAGTGGGGCCTTAAGAACAGAAAATCTTCCTTAGCCTGACTTAGTATGCACTTAACTATGGGTGCTTGTTAGTCCTGACATTGCCTTTGAACCTTAGGCTCCCTAAGTATTCTTTTATTTTTTTTTCTAGATCTATCCCTCTAACACCTGTAGTTGAATATTAGTCAGTTGCTCATGTCACTTAGTAAAAACCCCTATAAAATAAAGTAATCACTCCTTGATTTTCCAACCCATTGCTGGCACCCCTTGCAAAAGGCAGCAACAGTAGTAAGTTAATTTCAGAATGGGTAGGTTTATATTGTTAAATCTAAATGTGTTTGGTTCCAAGAATTGATAGAATTTGTACATTAAAAATTCAAGTTTGATTTAAGATGAAATAATAATTTAGTTTATTTGGCCAGGTGATATCTTTTGCCTTGGCCTATTGACCAGTGGCACTGGCAGATGCCCAGGCTGGCAACAAGGAGGATGTAATTTTATGAAGTTCTGTGTCTTAGTATACTGATACACATTCACAGGGTGAAATTGTGAGTTCCTGTAGAGGTAATAAATCTCTCTGCCTTCTAGGGTATGAGAGAATAATCCAAAGCAACTTGAAGGAAATAGTGATGGCACCCAGCTTCCTACTTTCTGCAGTTCTATTCCAGAGAGTTGGGACCTAACTCTTTAAATGATCTTTCTTTAAAATCCTTTTAAGAAAACTGGACTAGGACTAGGACTGACCTACCATGAGCTCTGAACCATGGTTGCTTTTGCTCACCTATGGAGCCACGTGCCAAGTTCAAAAGGTATTGTTAGCTAGTAACTTTTGTAATTGAGTATAACAAGGGAGGAAAACTATTGAGGATATTAACCACTATCTTTGTGCAAACTGCATAAAAAATAAAAGCAATAGTAGAAATTTCTACAGTGTCTGGGTTTAAAGCATATATAATTGAGATAACCTTTGTTCTTTTCATGGTAAACAAAACAACCACCTCTACTAATAGTTGGGAAGAGAAATTTGGGTTGTTTTGCCATATCATTTATCTGAAAGGGATACTTAAATAGCACCCTGCCTCCATCGCTAGGTTTATTAACAGTCTATTGACTTACTCTCCCTTTATCATCATTGTCCGCAGAAGACCATTATAAACCCTGCAGATAGCTTTTAGAAATAAAATTATTTCTCTAGATAAAGGCCAGGTTATTTTCTTTAGGGTTTCTAGAGAAAATGCTGTTTACACGTGCTTCATGAAGTCCTTAACCAGAAGAGTTTCAGATCATACCAATGCCTGGATAGCCTGTAGCTGTTCACAGGTCTCCTGGGAGAGCTTAAAACTTGGGGGAAACACTGGTTTTCACAGATGCTCCACATGGCTATCTTTAAAAGACTCAAAAATTTTTTTCTCTTTGTTATGCTTGGAAAAAACCCACAGTGTGTCGAGTCTTTGCAAAGAGTCTTAGATGTGGTTCATAGGTATATGAATAAGTATCTGTGTAAAAAACAGTGAGTGTGTAGTGTGTAAATACTTTAAATTATTATGCTAGAAAAATAAAGTTACATACCATACTGTGGAATGTTTGTTCTGTGATTATAGTGACACCTGCTGGAATAACTGAGAAACAGCTGCAGAAGGGAGAGTCCCCAACATTTACTGAGTTGTACTGCTTGCCTGCTAGCTCACTTTACTACTACTGTAGTTTTTTCCTTTATAAATGTTAGGCTGTTACAAATAAACCAGTATCTGTGAGACTGATCCACTGGTATTGTCCCAAAGGTCTGTCTTTAGTAATACTTTCCTCCAAAGATACTCTGATTTCTTTTTAAGGCAGCGTGTTCTACAACAACACTCTTGGTGGGAGAATATTTCAGATATTCTGTCCTTGAAAAGTTTTTGTGTAAATTCTTACCTCTTTGATGTTCTAAAAAAGAGACATCACAATATCATAAGTTTGTTTTTGTTAAAGAAACATCCCAAAGGGTAGAAAAGTTTGAAAGAAACTCGAAGGCTCAGGAAAGCACTGTTGCTGTTATTCTGTAGAATACTAAATGGAACAAAATTCTGAATGGGGGAAATATATACATAGTTCTTAAATTGTGTGTAGCAGTTCAGAGAAAATAAAAGGAAAAAGCCAGCTGATACACAAAATAGGAGATAATAACATTCACTGAGTACATGTCATGTATGTTCGCACTTAATGAACACAATCTGTGTTAACAGTGAAGTCTGTGCTTAGAAGTCAAACAGTTCTTTAATGTACACCATGCACAGACCTCCAGCTTCCCAGGGACTGAAACCTAAAGAGATTTTCATTTTCTTAATCAGCAAATGATGACACAAAAGCTAAGAATCCCATTAGTTACCTGATGTATTTCATCTTCCTTAATGTCATATGCACTGGCAGTGTCAGTCAGGATAACAGTCTTAGATTACTGTTGTCTTTTCTGAGCAAAGATACCTTGCTACAGATTGCCCCCTCCCACGTCCCATAAACGTGTGGGAACCAAGGAACATCTCCCTCACAGAATTTTATGAAGGCACTCAAAAGAAAGCAGTTCACAATTCTTTATTATTTCTTGTTTCTAATTCTATCCCCTTATGTCTTCCAAAGGGATAAGTCTGTTCATACTATTATTTAGATGATGTTTTCCTTTGAATTTACTTTTCTCATCCCCCCTCCATCATTGGTAAGGACATGTTTGACACTGTGAACTAAATAATACAATTATACTGGCCTTTGTACCCAAAAAATGTGATGCCATGGTTTAAAGTGATGTCCTCGTGTCTCATCTCTCTTGTGAACAGCATGCAGATTTACAGACACTGGGGAATTGAGGGCCAGGACGACACACTAATTACACTAAGTAAACAGAACCAGAGTCTGTGCTCTTGGCCTCATTAGAATGATGCTCACACCAATTAAGCAAATCATTTTTCTCAAGTAGAATGTATTAAAGTAGGTCCATCAAACTCCCGCAAGAAGAAAGCAACAGAGTAACATTTTCGAATTGATAGTTCTTCATGAGTAATATTTCTATGATCCATTTTTTATTTGAATAATGAAAATTCTAACTCCAAAATTTTAAAATGGTAAGCATTCTGCTACCAGATTGAATATACAAGTATAATTGTACCTGTTATTAATAAACATTTTTTAAAAATAGGTTATATCAATCAATAGTGTAAAAACACTGCCAAGGGAAAGTGGTGCTATTTGGCAGTCCAGAGGGCCTGCAAAGCCTAACAGGAAACAGTAAGTAGGATCCACTGAAAGGGGAGAATGAGAGGAACAATAAATTTACTTTCTAGTGTGCTTTCCCTTGCGCTTCTAAATAGCAATGCCATTAATGCACTGGTGGTTGACAGCGCCATGAGGACTGGGGGGAGTTATTGATTGGATTGCTCTTAAGTGCAAAGGAAGGTTCTGGGGGTCTCCTCATGAATATTCATTTTCCTTCCTGGGGAGGAAAAGGAAAAAGAATACTGAAATAGGTTGGAATACAACAAAGTATAAGATCTTTAGCCCCCTGTCAGACTGGAAATGTAGGCGATACTTGGAGTTCAGAGGAAAGAGGTGAAAGTTTATCTGGGAAGCTGGAAGAGTAGCAACAGACAGGAGAACTCACAAATCAAAATGACAAATATGGAACGCATCTGGTAACATTCTAAGTTACAGAGCTGTTTTTCAGGGTTTGTCTGCATATTCTACATGAGAGGAGGCAGCCTGCCATCGTGGACAAGATTACAGGTTTTGGAATCACACAGCTTTGAGTTTAAATCCTCAGATATGGCAAGCCTTGCTCCAACTTCTGTTTCCTCATCTTTATGGTGAGAATCCCAGGACATCACACCTCAAACATTCATTATGAGGAGTAAATTTGTTACTTTACCTAAATTTCTTAGCATAATGCCAAATACAGACCATACAGTACTTACAAATGTACCCAAAATAGTTTTTATGTTCACCGTGGGGAACTGTGAAGCCCCTGAGCTATTCCTGAAAATAAATTTATATTTATGCCTTGTGAACATTCAAGAGTTTAGGGCTAAGCCAAAGTTCTACAGAGAGTTTAGAAACATCCATGAAGGAGATGAACGTTCTGTGGTATCTTCCAGGAGAGCACCTAAGAAAAAATCCAAAGCAGTGTATAGATGTGCCTCTCTCCCCTGCTCACTGCAGTCACCCCAGGAATATCAGCATAAATTCCATAAGG